CGTTATTTAATTTTATTTCTTAAATCCATATAAGGAGGGAAGGAGATTTCTCAAAAGCTTGTAGCTCCTGCCTTATATGCATGAGACCCTGTGTTAGATCCCTAGCACTGAAACTCCCTCCCAACTTGAGCACCCCCTGCCTCCCCACCCCCCACCTCCCCTGTAACACTCTCAGGTGTAACTCCGGTTACCAGTTACTGCTTCACCCTAATACGACTGCATCACTGGGTCCAAGCACCTGGCAGACCTGCATGGCAGACTCAGTATTGCAGAGGTGGTCCTGAGCCCTCCAAAACTCCTGGAGAAAAAAGAAATAAATCGTTACAAGCTGACCAGTATATTTTTTTATCATTATTTGTCAGAATATGGGTACCAAGTCATTATGTGATCCTTTACTTAAAGACTACCATGTTTGTGAAAAGGGCACTGAACTAGGAGTCAGACCTTACTGGTTTGAGCAAGCTTTTGTCCTCTCAAACTCAATTCTATCAAACGGATATTAATACCTGCTCTACTATGTTCCCAGAGTCATTCCGAAGACCAAATAAGACAATCCAGCAGGAGTCTGACTTGTGCACTATTCTGAGGGTAATAATCATTTAAAGAATAGGCTAGCATGGCTGGAATGACAGTTGCTATGTACAACCTTCCTAAATCTCTTTCTTGGTAAAGAAACATACACTTGATTGCAAAGGGGAAAAAAAAGTCTCCACTCCTCCCACGGTCCTTTTTTTACTGAGGTCAAACATATTTCAAGGAATCTATAAAATAGCAGGGATCAAAGTTTCACTCTCTTTATAGAACATGATCTTTTTAAGTCTTTTTAAGTCTGCATAAGGTAATGAAATGGATAGCCCACTCAACTATATTTAGAATGGATGTATAAATTTACACATTCTTGCCCACGGAATCCTTATCCATAGAAAACTGCAGCTGAATTTAGAATTGGAGGACTAAAATATTCGTTATTGTCTGAGTCAGGGGAATATTTTTAGCTTTTATAAAGAAAGATTTTAAATTTACATAAAAGAAGAGGATACATATTGTAAGCATACATTTTCATAAATTTCTAATTGGCTTATTTCGAATGTTTTAAATTTCATAGGAAAATTGAGAAGAAAGCACAGTAAATATTCTCTGTAAATGCATTGCTTCCTCCATTACCAACATCCCAGACCAAAGAAGGACATTTATTACAATTAATGAACCTACATTATCACCTAGAAGTCACCGTGCATATTAGAGTTCACTTATGGTATTGTAAATGTATAGTTTCAACAAAGGTATAATGACATGTCTCCATTGCTTTGGTATCATGCAAAGTATTTTGTTGTTTTTTATTTTTCTCAAGGGTCACTCTTGGCAGTGCTCGGGGAGATTTGTTCAGGATGTCAAACCTGGGTCGGCCACATGGCAGGCAAACCACTTAATGCCTATCTTGTCTCTCCAGCTATCATACAGAGTATTTTAATTTCAATAAAACCTCTGCACTGTATCTATTAATCGCCCCTCTCCATAACTTTTATTTTTTTTAAACGAAGTGAACTTCTTATAATCAATCAGCACTCAGGTCAAGAAACACTATCTTTAACCCAGAGATACCTCTTGTTCCTCTTTCCAATTACCACCTACCTCCCAGGGCAACCGTTATCCTGCCCGCATAAATTAGTTTTGCTGAATTTATAGTTCATGTAAGCACAACTCTATAGGACGTTCTTTATTATGGTGTAGCTTCTTTTGTTCTGCTTCGGTTTGTAAGATTCATCCATACTTTTGTGTGTGGTTGTAGTTCCAGTCAAAGGTCTCAAGTTAAACAAATCTAGTTAAACACATACTGTACACCAGGAAATGTGTTCAAGGATGAGGTTACAAAGTCAAATTTGGTAAGTCCCTGTTAATGTTGTAGTGACAAGAAATTTAATGTTAAGTGAATTCCTCCTTGTTTAACCAATATTTATTCAGTTTCTTCACAATTGGTAGATATTTCAGCTTAATTATTGATTTATCCACTATGGGAGAAATATTAGAGTTGCTGGATATAAGCAATGAACAAACATAAAAATTCTAGCGGAAATACTCTTCTTATTTTCTGACAAATGTGAACAAGTTCTGCCCAGTAATTACCATTTCCCACTCTGTTTTGCATCTGATTCAACATAAGGGGAGTTAGGGACAGAAGCTATTTCTTCTGGTGACTTAGAATCTGTGATTATAAAGTCACTCATCCAACCATGGGTCACTTTGCAAAGAAGTGAACATGAGAAATTATTTCTTTGTTTCTATTCCTACTTCACTCCATTCTGTACCCAAGGTATTGCTTATGCAGATGAAACAAAAGTCTGGATCCTCAGGAAGCTTTTGGATATTATCCTAAGGACCAAAGAGAATACATTTTATAGAACTATAAAGTGAGAAGACTATTGCCAAAGTTGTCACTAAAATTATCACTGTCACTGTCACTGTCCTCCCATTGTTCATCGATTTGCTCGAGTGGGCCCAGTAATGTCTCCATTGTGAGACTTGTTGTTACTGTGTTTGGCATATCGAATACATGATGGGTAGCTTGACATGCTTTTGCCATGCGGGCGAGAGGGGTGGAGGAATCAAACCCAGGCCCCCCGGGTAGGCCACGTGCAAGGCAAACGCCCTACTCACTGTGCTATCACTCCAGCCCACTAAAATTATGAAACTTAGAATTTTTAAAAATAAATATTGGCATCTGATCTATCTTATTTTTCTTTAATGTTGACTTTTCAGAGTCTAGTGAATTATCTGAAAATAAATCTAACACATTGAAAGAAGAAATAAGAGAGAATCCATTGTCACTCTAAGACTTCTTAGGAAGAATTACAAAATATTATCTAGCTTTGTTTGATTGGTTCTCCTTGCACCCCATTTTTTTGAAATTTAAGGTATATACAAAAGTAAGGTAAAGGTAAAGGTAAAGGCCCTTCCATTGATCGTCGATTTGCTCGAGCGGGCCCAGTAACGTCTCCATTGGAGATTTTGTTGTTACTGTGTTTGGCATATCGAATACTCTCGGTAGCTTGCCGGGCTCTCCGAGAGGGGCGGAGGAATCGAACTCGGGTCGGCCATGTTGGCCGCTTGTAAGGCGAACGCCCTACCCGCTGTGCTATCGCTCCAGCTCTGTTTAGTAAAAGGTAAAAAGGTAAAGGCCCTCCCGTTGATCGTCGATTTGCTCGAGCGGGCCCAGTAACGTCTCCATTGGAGACTTTGTTGTTACTGTGTGGCATATCGAATACTCTCGGTAGCTTGCCGGGCTCTCCGAGAGGGGCGGAGGAATCGAACTCGGGTCGGCCATGTTGGCTGCTTGTAAGGCGAACGCCCTACCCGCTGTGCTCAAATTCACTCCCATTCCCCATATTTCAGCTTCAAACATTATTAACTCATGCACTCTTCATCTCAACTCCCTGCTGTCTCCCTTTGATTATTTTCAAGTAAGTCTCAGATGTTAAATCAGTTTTTTGTAATGTTCAAAAGTGAGATTCCCCTAGATTATTTTTGCATTGGTTTTAGTTTAGTTTAGTTTTGCTTTTTGGGTCTTACCCGCTGTGCTTACTTTTGGTGGAACTTCGAGAACCACATGTAATGCATGGTATCTAACCTGAGTTGCTGTATGCAAAGCAAGCACCTTGTCTGCTATACTATCTCTTGGGCCCCATATATCACTAATTTTAATTCCCTTAGCTAACAAGTTTAAAGAGGTGAAGTCACTATGGTAGATAATAGTTATTTTTAATCCTTAGACTTCAAATGTAAAAATGTTCACTATCGGGGCTGGAGAGATAGCACAGCGGGTAGGGCGTTTGCCTTGCACGTGGCCAACCCGGGTTCGATTCCCAGCATCCCATATAGTCCCCTGAGCACCGTAAGGAGTAACTCCTGAGTGCAGAGTCAGGAGTAACCCCTGTGCATCACCAGGTGTGATCCAAAAAGCAAAAAAAAAAAAGTTCACTATCATAGAATAATGAACTTTATAATGAAATGATTTGTCTGAGATATAAAGTGTCAATTTATGTGAAACTTTTGATCTCATTCCTAATTTAGTCAGTGATTACAAGGGGAACATAAGGTTCCTGCAGATAAGTACCTTACCATATAGTCTGAATATCACTTAAGTTCTTTATAAATTTGTGTTCAGTAACTTGTTTCAACTTGAATCAACACTAATGAGTAAATCTGTAAATTGATACTCACTCTAAAATAGTAATGTCTTGTTTTATTTTTACCTATAATCACTTCTTTTAAATATCTCAGGCAGAAAACAAATTTTACAAGGAATTCACAAAGTATGGAAACTGCTGGTTAATATTCCTTTTATCAGTAGTTTTTAACCAATAACTCTTAAGTTTTAAAGTTGCAAATAAATGTGTTTAAATCAAAGTGTCCTTTTCAACCATTTAGTAATAAGATGGGTCTAAAATTCCTCATAAGCCTCCTCATTTCCCATCTAAAACCTGTTCTATTGTTAAAGGAAGCTGCTTAATGTTCACTGAGCCAGTTGTAAAGGTTTATCAACTGTGAGCTTTCACAGCACAGATAGATGTCCACAGGCTTGAATCTATTTTTCTAGATGTTGACATTGTTTTGTCTGGACAGAATATTCCAGTGGTTTCTAAAACAAGAGGAAAGGATTCTGTGTCTTTGTTATAAAAATTTATAAAATGTTGTTTCAGCTTCTTCAATATTTGTCTTATTTTTTTCTCAAAATGTTACCTAAGGTATGTGAAACATCACTTTTGGGGTGGAGATTGGAGGGTGGGGTTAGGGTAACCCTATATACACACATCCACTTGGTGAGAAGGCCATTGGGGGTTTTTAAAACTTGCAAAAATTACCTGAGAAAAATAATCGTAGAAGGAGGAGGGGTTAAAAAATTACTGTAGAAAACTGACAGTCAGGCATTTTCCATATGCAACTGCCACTTGACAGAAAATCTATCAGTTTAACCATTTTCATTGTATACTTTTCCTGGGCAGGTTATTCACATCGAACTCCTTTGATGTGATCAGTGATGATGCTTTTATTGGTCTTCCACATCTAGAGTATTTGTAAGTAAAAAAAAAAATCTTTGTTTTGAACATAATGATTCAGGACAAGTACTAGCAGTTTCCAACCGCTGCCTGACAAAAAAAAAATTGTAACCTGTTACAGATTTATTGAAAACAACAACATCAAGACCATTTCCAGACATACTTTCCGGGGATTAAAGTCTTTAATTCACCTGTAAGTATGAATGTTGGTATTTTTAAGCTTGCCAATCTATAATGTTGTTTAATGACCTCCAACTTCATAGTTATCCTTGAGAATTTCAGAAATCCAAATTATCTCTTCTTATGCACCTCTACCATCTCTCTTCCATCAGTGTGTGTCAAAAATTTATTATTTTCGGGGCTGGAGCAATAGCACAGTGGGTAGGGTGTTTGCCTTGCATGTGCCCAACCTGGGTTGATTCCCAGGATCCCATATGGTCCCCCAAGCACTGCCAGGAGTAATTTATGAGTGCAGAGCCAGGAGTAACCCCTGAGCATCACTGGGTATGACCCGAAAAGCAAAAGAAAATTATTATTATCAATATGATTTGCCTAAGCCATAACTAAGGAAATAACCTTAATTGTACAGGAAATTGTGTCACTGAGGTAAATTTTTTATCATCTATATGGATTGATAACTCAATAGTTTAATTTGATGTTTATTATTTTTATTTTCCTTAACTTCATAACCATCTAAATATACACTATTTAGATGTTATATGTAAACAGTACCTGGGCAACTTGGTTATAAATGAAACATTTAATTACTGAGCAAGGGGAAATTTTACTTCCCGAGAAGAATTCAGAAATATCTCTTACTGAGTCCAAGTTCCTGTAGCTCAAAAACTAACACTCTAGAAAGAAGAACTATGTGATAAAAACAGTTTTTTTCAAGGACTAGCAGCCTAAGGAGATGGCGAATTTGTTTCCAATATCCATCTTACTCTCAATCCGGGGTTTGGAATTGATAAAAGCACTAGCAGTCCTCTGCTAGAAGTGAGAGCAGAAAAGAGTAATGTGCTGGTGGGTGAGCAGGAGATCCAGTGATACAGGACCTGCTGGCATCTGGGTCACCGGGGCACATCGACCTGTTCTTTGCAAAATTCAAGATAAACTCAGCTTTCACCATCAGCCTATAAAATATCTTCTATATAATATCATCAGGGATAAAATGTCTGTTGTTTATTATTTTCTTTCAGTGCACAGTTGGTTCCTAGTTTAATGCTAAATAAGTTGGCAGAAATACCTCTTAACAATAGGGGAAAGACTAAAACAAAGGGTGAGAAGAATATCTAGAAATTCTGCTCACTTCCATGTCTTGAGACATGTTTCCCAGCTCATGTGGCATGATGTTGCAGTTGAGAAACCCTGAACAGTCTGGACCAAATAATTTGTATTTCCTAGTCTTCCCCACTCTCATACAAATTCTTGAGTATGTGTGTCTGCACACACAATCATGCAACACACATCCTCACACACTTTTACACCAATTACACTTTTAATCAAACTAAAAATGCATGCGTGAGAATAAATGGCTACTATCATTTGTTAAGTGCCTACCTTTATATTGTTCATTATGCTTTCCATGAATTTTCTTTTAGTCCTTTCGACAGTCCTGCCAGATAGGGACAATAATTCCCACTTAAAAAATGAAGAAAATGTCTTGGATTGGCTATATGACTCATGAACTGAGCAGTTATGGAACTATGGCAATATTAAGTTGGTTGCTTAATTGCAATGGCTATTCATCCATTTAATGATTAGATCTTAAGTGTCTGATAAGTGTTATCTCATTAGTGTTAGATAAAGATGTAAGAGAGCCAAGTATTATTCTGGCAACTTTAACCTCCCCCATAACATACCACATTCCCAGTTCTGTTCTAGGGCCCAGCGTGCAGCAAGGAACAAAGACAGACAGAAATGTCAACTCTTTGAGCTTATGTTCTCATATAGTCAGCATGCTACCTCGACCACACCCCCATCTCTACTGCTGTTGGACTGGAAGCAAGGGAGAGCTGAGGGCAAAAGCACTTCACAAAAATAATTATAGCTTCCAAGGCTTCTGTTTACAGTGATTACAATAGAAGTGACATTTTCAGAGTTACTCTGCATGTGATGAAATGTTAATACAAAAATGAGTCTGTGTAATAAATGTTAAAGAATTGGCTCTCAGAACCAAACACTGCCAAAACTCAGTTTCAGACAAAAATAAGTAAAAGAAACAAATACATGGAAAGATGAATGGAACTTCATGACCTCCCTGAATTATATCAATCTCATTCAACGTGACCTCTCTCCAGAGCTTATCATCATAAGGGCTCAAAGGAAGGACAGAAGGGGCTGGAGAGATAGCACAGCGGGTAGGGCGTTTGCCTTGCACGCGGCCAACCTGGGTTCAATTCCCAGCATTCCATATGGTTCCCTGAGCACCGCCAGGAGAGACTCCTGAGTGCAGAGCCAGGAGTAACCCCTGTGCATTGCCAGGTGTACCCAAAAACCAAAAAAAAAAAAAAAGGAAGGACAGAAGACTCAAATGCTATCCTTCCCAGGAACCTCTAGTCTAAGACCTGCCATGCTCTTCAATTCAACTCAACTGACTTCCTTTCAGTTCAAAGGCCTAGGACAATTCCCAGGGTCCTTGCACTCACTACAAGGGAGAAAATTGTCTCCCTACCTTACCTCAAAGGAAAGAAGGGAAGAATGAGGAAAGAAAGGAAGGGATGAAAGCAGGAAAGCAGGAAATAAGGAAGGTAGTAAATAAATAAATAAATAGACAGGAAGGAATGGAAGAGAAAAAGGAGAGAAAAGAGATAAAGGAGTAAGAATGGAGCAATTTAAATAAATGTCCTCAGGGCTAAGGCTCAAAGGCCTTAGGATTGTTTGAATGTGTAGAAAAATATTTGGGGCAATTTTTTTGTCAATCTATAAATTTTATAGACCATTTACTAGTTTGCTTGGCCCTGTAGGGGTACAAAAGACATACACAGTTTCCAATCTCAGAGTATCTGTGTGTCTCCAATTGTTAAAGAAGCCAGTCTTTATTTCAGCTGTCACAATGCCATGCATGTAAGAAACAAGATAATGGCTGAAGGTAAGCTCTACAGACTCTCTGGGTGCACAATGAATTTACCCCTTAACAGAAGTGTGAGTCTAAGCAGGCCACTTAGCATCTTTGTACTTTAGGTTTCTTGTGTGTAAAATTGAAGTGACCATAATCAGCTATAAAAGCAGTCAGGGGCTAGGACCATACTTAGGAGTGCTTAGGAGTCCTATGGTAACTATAAGATTAAATGAGTTTGCTTATGTCGGGTATCCTGAACAGTCTGGTATCCAGTAAACACAACTACATAGGAATATATAAAAATGCAACAACTAAATTCTATTGGTTCTGAAATAGGATCCCAAATGTTGCCGTGTATTTATCCCCATTAAATAATTTTTTATGAAATGGAAAAAAAAACTATACTTGAAGCTCAGCAAATTCAGTGAGACACCAACCCAAGCTGTGAATCTGCATTGCAGGGATCTGGGTGGGCTCCAGATGGCCGTGGGTAATGCTTTCGTAGCAGCAGAGCCCCGCAGCACTGAAACAAATGTGCTCTCTCAGCCAGTCTGGTTGTCCAGGAAAAGACTTTCCAGTAGGTTCTGCAGTCGTGATCTGATGCTTTCTCAGGTACAATAGGAGGGTGCCAAATTTGAGGGAAAGAATCTATGGGAAAGACTGTCTGCCACTGAATATGCTTTATGCTACTCATCTCATCTTTAGGCAGTTTGTTTCCTGGACATTTTAAAGAATGCTTCTAAGGTGGAGTCTGTATCAGTACCTAGAAATGATACTGAATTGAAAGTTTTGAGGAACCTTCATGTTGCTTTGTAATAATTATCACAGGGAGGCTAAGATGAGGGAGGATACTTTGTCATACCCATGCAACATGGGGTGAGTAGGGCTTTGATCTTCTCTCTAACTCAGAGTCTTGGTTCAAGGAATTTAAGAGAATGGTCTTCTGCTCATTTCTTATTAAGATTTGTGCTACTTTGGAGGGGACATTCGGGGGCACAGGCAACACTGTCAGCCTACTCCTGGCTCTGCACTCAAGGATCACTCCTGTGGGGTGGGGGGGAGGAGAGGGGGCTCAGAGAACCATTTGAGGTGCTAGGGATTGAACCTGGTTGCCTGGATGCAAAGCAGGTACCCTACCCCCTATTGCACTGGCCCCCAAATTTGTGCTGTTATCCACTCTTGACCTCACTCATTATCTTTCTTTTATTCATTCAATCAGTTTTAAGTTAAGGGTGCACTGGTGATACATGGAACCCACAGGGAACCCGCAGGAACAATTCCAAGCCTGGGCTACTCTAGTTCTCAATGCCCCAGAAGCTCAAAGCATGCTGGAAAAAGGCAGCTCCATAGAAAAGCTCATCTCTCATCATAGGCATGGACATCATCTGACCACTGAGATATTTAAAGTCTTGGCTCATTCTCCAGTCTGTAATCTCAGAACTTCATGATTACAGACAAATGATTGACAAGACCATTACACAGAGAGATTCTACGCTATGAGGACCCTTTAAAAAATTCAATTTTATTCTTTGTTTTTTTAATGAATTTAAAATGGCTGGAGCGATAGCACAGTGGTAGGGTATTTTCCTTCTACGCAGCCAACATGGCTGACCCGAGTTCAATTCCCCCGCCCCTCTTAGAGAGCCTGGCAAGCTACCAAGTGTATCTCACCTGCACGGCAAAGCCTGGCAAGCTACCCGTGACGTATTTGATATGCCAAACACAGTAAAAACAAAGTCTCAAAAAATGGAGGCGTTACTGGGCCCGCTTGAGAAAACCGAACAATGGGAGGACAGTGGCAGTGACATGAATTTAAAATAACAATACATTTATGTGGCCGTCCCAGGTTCAATTCCCAGCAACCCATATGGTCCCCTGAGCACCACTAGGAGTAAATCTTGAGTGCAGAGCCAGGAGTAACCCCTGTGCATCGCCAGGTATAACCCCAAAAAGCAAATATTAATAATAATAGTCATAATAATAATAACACATGTACTCGAATAAAAATTTTCACAACACAGAAATTTGTGAAGGAAAAGTAAAACATTCTAAAATGTAAAAGAAGAGATCTTCTTCCAGACCTTTATGCACCTTCATGCACCTATAAACATACCTTCGTTCTTTCCCATTTAGATTACATTTCACATACTATTCTCCAACTTTATTTTTTCCATTTAGGTATAATTTCACATCAAATCAAAGCGATCATCCTCATTAAAAAATCTCCATCAAAATATTCCATGTTGCATGTGATTCATAATTTTTTCAGAGTCATTAATGAAACTATAAGTTGTTTCAAATTCTTAGATAATACTACAGACAATACTGAACTAAATATCTTTTCCCAACTCTGCAGTCGGCCTCTACCATGTTTCTTCACTTGAGTACCACAGAAAATTCTTAATTGGCCACCACTAAGATAAATATGTGAGCATTTCATATGAGCATTTCATGTGAGCATTTCAAGGGATGATCATCCCTTTCTACGAATCTGCACTGGAAGTCCTTTATATCAGGGGCCTCTAGTACATCTGTGAAGAATAATTCCTGGACAGTCAGTATTGTTTCCCTAAAACTTGCTGTCCAACTGTAACCTATAACACCACTGCCTCCCAGGAACTTAAGGAAGTTGTTTAACTCCAATTCTTGGGCCCAGCCGTGCAGAAGCTTTCCTCTCATTTCTGAGTCTTAGCTCTTGTTTCTCCTTTGTTCTTGTTTTTGCTTCGTAATGAAAAACAGGCCGTCCTACTTAGTCTACCCCATATCAAACCTGAATACGAAGCCTATCTGAATTCCTTCAGATCGGCCCACTGTGAGTCAGTAATGAATTGACTTTGAAAAGTGGAACAGAGAATGGGCCCCCATTTGGTACAGCAAACTCATCTATTTCTTCCTCTGGTGCCCCTAAGGAAGCCTTGCTGTACCTCTTAACATAGTCCTGCTGTTTCTTTGATTTCCAGGGTGAGAAACTCCCTGTCACAAAAAGCCAGCAGGAAGCTTAATGCCTCATTCTCCAGTCCTTTAAACTAGCCTGCCTTTGTCAAGCCAACCCTTAATTCTATTGAATTTAAAGTCCTCCATATTGTCATACAAAAATACTGTCTTGTCCTGGAAGCCACATAGATCCAAGTCTGTGACTCACCAGCTGCTGCTGTGGCTTGCCTTCACTTGAAGTGTGTGGCACTTAGAGCTCTCATTTTTCAGGCAGGAACTCCAAAATTTACCCAATATTTGAAAGATCCACGCGGTCAGCAATGCAAACGAGCTGCTTCTTCTGTATAACCCCAGAGGTAGCAATAATTCTAGACTTCTATGTTTCATCATTTCATGTCTTCGTACCTACTTTCCTATTGCCCAGTTTCCTCCAAGTTTGTGTTTCGCTTGCATAGCTGTTTGAGTTGGTTTCTAGGAAGAGATGTCCACTTAGGAAACATTTGCAAGAGAATTTTACACCAGCAAACAAATCAAGACTCATAATGAGTGGCTCTGGACAGGTCTAAGACATCAGGATTTTTCTTTTTTCAAACAACTGCCAGTAAAATGACTTATGGAGACACAATCTTGAATAGATCTCTTCAGCTACATTTTACTATGTTTTGAATGTAGATACTCATAGAGGTTCATACTTGTGATCACTTTTAAAATGCTGCTTCTTGGCCAATATATACACAGAAACCCCTTCATTTCCCTCCTCCTCTTTCTCCTTAGTTGTACTTCATTGAAAATAGTCCTGATGCCAGGGATTATCCTCAGTCTCATTTACTTTATTCCAACAATCTTATGAGATGAGGTATTGTTAGTTCCATTTAAAAATGAAAAACTAAGTCCCAGAGATTTATAACCAAAGTCACACTGCCAGTAAATAGTGGAGTCAGCATTCAGACTGAGATCAGATGACTCCAAAGCCATGCCCCTCAGCACATAATAGACCGTTATTGAGTTATTGAGACAAGAGCATTTTTATTCAGTTCCCATGCTATGTTTCACATTCATTGAAAAACTTTTCTTTAATCAAGTAATAATTTCTAAAACTCAGAAAACACAAACAACTTAAAAAACTAATCTTTTAAAACTCTTAGATTTTTGCTTTTGAGAAATCACAAACTATATGAGAAAAAAAGGCAAGATTTTGAAGCATTTTAAAAAGCATTAGAAAAAAAAGCATTAGAGAATTTAAAAGGACTTTGGATACCAACAATATAAATTCTTTAGTTTTAGTGTTTCTTATATAAAAAAACTCCTAAAATAATCATATAACACATAAGATGATATATATAATTATGATTAAAAATTAAAAGTTACTAGATATAGCCTGCCCCCCAATATAAAAGTACGTAGAACCCTTTTCTATCATGCAGTATCAATTCTTTATTACATTTACATTTTGCAGAATGTACATGTTTTCTTTAGCTTCATACTATCAAGACTATTTTCTACTTGCTAACCTTGATTAGAATAACTTTAGTGATTCATGGAAAAAGAGAGAGAGCAATTTGGGGGCAAAAAAGAAAAGAATGGAAATAACCAAAAAGAAGAAAATAATTGGATAGATGAATGGATGGCTATTTACAAGAAAAATATTTTCTGAGGTGTAAAGAAAGCAAAAAGGTGAAAACACAGTAAGAGGTGCAGTATTCTTGGAAAGAACAGATTTGTGTTTCCCAAATTCTGGAGCTGTTGATACGTTAGTTGAATGTTGAGCTATTATCTAGAGCAAGTGAAAGGAAGAGAAGAAAAGGGACAGTATGAGGAGAGAGGCATTTAGGTCAGTTAACCATCAGCTGGGAGAAATTCCCTGGACTGGAAGGTCTGAGACTATGACTTTCATATTCTGTTCTAAATAGGAAGATCTATGTTCAACCATTATCTTATTATTGGTGTTATTGTTGTTGATGTTTTGTTTATTTATTTATTTATATTTTCTTTTTGGGTTACACCTGACGATGCATAGAGGTTACTCCTGACTCTTGCTCAGTAATTACCCCTGGCAGTGCTCAGGGGACCATATGGGATGCTGGAAAACGAACCCGGGCCGGCCGTGTGCAAGGCAAAGGCCCTACCCGCTGTGCTATCGCTCCAGCCCCTGTTGATGTTGTTTTAACCATGATACATGATGGAGATATATATGGAGAGTTCAAAGCAAAAGGGCCAGTAATTGAAAGAAGGATTCTAAGTAGTATCTAGGAAATAAAAGTAGTTTAACATAGTCTGGAAAGACAAAATGCACTCATAACTAAACTTCATCATATAGCACATTTATTAGCTATATTTTCATATAATTTTCATCACTTTTTTCTTTCTTTTTTTAGGAGCCTCGCAAACAACAATCTGCAGACACTTCCAAAAGACATTTTCAAAGGCCTGGATTCTTTAACAAATGTGTAAGAGAATCTAAGAAATTACTCACTAATTCATTAATTTGCAATCGTTACAAAAATGTATGTATGGCATGGCTAGTATAAATTTTAATAGACTAAAATTAAATTGGAATTTTAAAATTTAAATGAACTTAAAATTTACTTTGACTAATGTTTACATCTTCTATGGTACTTATTACTAGAAATTCTAAAGATATAGTGCTTAGACATTCCTTTGACAAAATGTGTTTCTTTATGTGAGTCAGTGATAACAAGGAGCGTCCAGAAAAGAGAAGGCCCAGACAGAAATTTTAAGGTGCCTTTTTTTTCTAAGGAGATGCAGGAAATGGGGTTACAAAGAAAAAACATAAAGGAGTCTGGGAAACTGACAGAGGTAGATGAAAGGTTACACCCATGGGTTTGGTCAGTCAATAAAGAGAGCGCGAAGGGGGGAAGGGAAGAAAGTTTGCCTTTTATCATTAGACAGAACAACAACTCTAGGCTTAATCCCCAGGAATTTGGCTTAAACCCCAGGAAGGGAATGAACTTAATTATTTTTGACCCTTTTTCAAACAAAAGTGCTTTCAAACTTTGACTTTTAAGCCTCAGAGTAAAAGATCTTTGCAAGGAATTTGTATATTTTGCTGTAAACGAAGCAAGTAATATATGTCTAACCCTCTCAAAGCCATTTAGTTTATTTAAGTGCCTTCCAGGACAATAGAAGGATATTTAAATGCCATAAAGTAGAATACAGGAACAAATGAAAGGAAGTATGAAAGCAAAAGTTTATTGTTAACGTACTTTGCTATAGAAAATATGTATATCCAGAACAACTTTATTAACTAAACAACTTGAGTCAAGTAATTTTTGTTGAACCCTATATTTAACTTCCAATCAGTAAATAATGAGAAACTTTCTTTGTTCCTTGCAGTATGGCTCCCACCCTCCCTGCCAATTATCCCAATTCTTGATTGACGGCATATTTTCAAGAGTTTCAGAATCAGGATACTTTCAAGGAGATCTCCAACAGACCAGTTACCTACTCTATTTACAATAGTCCAAAAGAGTTAACATTCACTATTCTGAATCAGAACATTTTTGGGAGACGACGTCAGTTCTGAGAATGTCTTAAAAGTTATACAATATTCCATGACCAAAAGTTGAGGATACATCTTTTTGGGGAACCCTTTGTCCCATTCTTGTGTCAAACTAGACCCCATTCTAGCAAAAAACAACAACAAAAACCCAAACATTAGAAATGGCCTTATCTCTTTAGGAAATCCTGCAATGGGTTTGGTCTCTTGGATCTACTCTGATATCACCGAATTAAAAGAAAAAGTACAGAAGAAGTTGCAACTTGGTAGATTTATTGGTTTTGTTGACTTGTATCCCCTAAAACACATTCTGAAATTTTGAAGTATTTATAATGACTCGAAGGGCTGTCAAGCAGGCTTTTCATGCTGGGAGCCCTGGATTTGATCCTTGGTAGTACATAGTCCCTTGAGCACTGCAGGGAGTGACCCCTGAACAAGAAGCAGAAGAAGCCCCTGAGCACAGCTGATTCTGTTGTGACCCAACTACACAACCTGATCTGCACCCCCTGCAAAAGTATTATTCATGTTCTGGGTGAATCTTAGGAATTCTGTAACTAAGAAGGGTTTTAAGAAGGAGATGCTAGTTATGAACAAAAGCAATGCAAATAAACCGAGAATTTGGTGACTTGGGATCACAGGGAAAATTTAACCTATGCTTTGTAGCTTATTGTGGGCCTGAGCTATTGTATATCTGTGTTGACTCTGTATTGAAGTCATTTCCTGTTAAAACTGAATTTGTAGGCATGGAATAAGTTCAGGATTAATTATATCTGTGAGGAAGAAGAAAAGGAAACAGTTTACATTATTTAATTAAATCTGATACAATAATCACTGCATTCCACTCTCCAGAACTCTCTAGACCTGAACTGTCCAATATGTGTTCACTGAGAACAATGTGTTTCTAATGGAAATTAGGAACAGAACTTTAAATTTTACTCAAACATTAAATAAACTAAATTTTATTTAGTTTTTCAGCTTAAAAACTGGTTTCCAGCTTAATTATTGAAAACTTAATAATTGAAACAATTTGAGAGTGTGAATCTATTTTTTATTGCAAATTTTATTAAACCCAAATACAGATTAGGAGGCCAATGGAGAGAGTTTAGGTGTCAATGGCGTATGCCTCGCATGCATGTGGACCCAACATTGATTCAGATCCCGTGTTTCTGGTAGATTCCAATAATACTCAGACAGAGAAGCACAGTATCAGGAAGCCCTAATATTGAAGCAATCAATTCACTTAATTAATGATTGCTGGAAGTGGTCTCTTAGCTACTCTGAGCACTACCTGGGAAAACAAAAAATAAGTAAATATGTATATATATATACATGTAATATCTGTATTTCTGATGAAATTTAGCTTCCAATTGATATACTGTTAATATTAAATTTGTACTAAACTTCAGCAGCTGTTTAAAAGACCATGCAAAATATCACACTGTTAATTTTAAAATTGTCTGCATATCAGAATATTTGATACATATTGGATTAAATAAGATGTTCCATTAAAATTAATTTTTAACTGTTTGTTTTTAATATGCATACAGAAGTTTAAAAATAAAATATGCGGTTCATATCTATATAGTTTCTTGGACCATATAAATCTAGACTTGAGCTACCTGTGACTTTGAGTGGGAGCAGTTTACAAGGTTTCGATGACTGGGGCGGCCACTCAGGGTACCTTCTGAGAGTAAAGTGAATGATCTCTAAAGTAGATTATTATGAGAGATGATAGGGGAGATTACTATGGTCATTTATTGTCAGAGTGGATGTTATGCCTGAGAAGGAAGGGCCCTGGTATAGCAAAAGCAGCTGGAGTTTATCTTTCAGGGACCTAAGAGGGAATTCATTTAATTGTGACTGTAAACTGAAGTGGCTGGTGGAATGGTTAAGCCATACCAATGCAACTGTCGAAGACATCTATTGTGAAGGTCCTCCAGAATACAAAAAACGAAAAATCAATAGCCTCTCTCCCAAGGATTTTGATTGCATCATTACAGGTAATATATTTCACCTCATAAAATTAAAATAAGGACCACTTTTAAAAAAAACATGTGCAGGAACTGATATTCTTATGTAATTACATTTTTAAAAATATTCAGAACTGTTAAAATGTCATGTGCTTAAAAGCAAAGTACAATTTCATTTTACTATTTCTCTAAAATAAATATATCTCATGTATATTTGAGATCTGGCCAAGAAAGAGACATTAGCACTCGGTTACTGATCATTATCTTCTATTTTTGCAGAATTTGCAAAGTCTCAAGACCTGCCTTATCAATCACTGTCCATAGATACTTTTTCTTATATGAATGATGAGTATGTAGTCATTGCTCAGCCTTTTACTGGAAAGTGCATTTTCCTTGAATGGGACCATGTAGAAAAGACCTTCCGGAATTATGACAACATTACAGGTAGGAGGGTATTTTGAGTGGAAAATCTTAAGATTGAGTTTGACCTCCTACTTAGACCAAGGGCAATAGGAAAAAATGAGTGGTATGGGGGGACAATACTTCTGATAAACTTAGAGTAATTAGAACCACAAGTTTAAGGTAAGGCCTAAGTAACCTGAAATTGTTTCCTAAACCATAATTTCCTCACTTATAAAATGGAAATAATAATACTTAATTCAGAGATATTATAAAGTAATGAGATCAGAACATATATTTAATAATCAGTCCAGGACCTAGCTTAGTAATATTCATTGAAAGTTGAATTATTTTTCTTCATTGAAAAAGCATGGGGCTAGGAATCCATATGGGTGCTAATTCATGTTCTGTCACAAACCAACTAGGTAAGACCCTGACATTCAGTAGGCTTCCCTTTTCCTTACCTACAGAATAATGATGTCTATGACCAGTAAGTCTCAAACTTTGTTGTCCTAACATTATTTCAACAAAGTGTTAATGTGGAAGACTGTGACAAAAACGTCTTTATGCTCCAATAAATTTATAAGCCCTATCTCCCTCATGCAGATTCTTAATAATACAGATGAGACAACTCTGGAAATCTTACAGTAAGCAAACCTCTTTCTAGTATTGTGTTGCCTTTAATTTGATCATGAAAGTTTTAATTTTGTCCTATTAAAACTTTTACTTAAGTGATCACATAAGTTTCTATGTCAACACTTTCTAAGGTTTTAAGTCATAAATAAAAGCATGGAACTCTCTCTGAAATATTTAACTCTGTAGAAACTCTAATACCTTTGAATCTTCTCCTAATAACACTGAACCCTCCACAGGGAAGGTCACCCTTTCACTAAGGCTGAAAGGGTCATAACTGAACTTTGCTTATTGTCATCAGCCCCACTGCGTGAGAGATCAAGACATATCTGGGGCTTTCTTAAGACCGAAAAGCAATATCAAGGGATTTTTTCCAGGTGAACTGGTAATAACACAAGGCATTGGTCAAGGGCCTTGGACTGTTCAGTGGTTTAGAGATGAGATTACTATGCATATCAAAACTATCTGCGTCAATACTATTATAAACATGTGATCCAAATGATAATAAGTTAAAAGTAAGTTTGCTAAAGAGGTGGCATAATGTGAAGAGAAGGATGGAATCTTGGATCATTGGTGAAAGGACACTGACATTGGTGGGAGATTTGGAGCTGGAACATTGAGTGCCTGAAACTCTGTTATTAAAAGCTCTGCAAATGAATAAATGAAATAAAGGGATCTCCTCCAAATTGAGACTGTCCCAATTACCTCCTTTTGCTCATAGAGGAAGATTATGCTTCCTTTCTCCTTTAGCTCCCCTTGGTTTTCATTACCCTGCAGCAGAACTTTGAGAGTGTAGGTCAAGTTCTTACTATTCAGTTCTTCAGTTGCTTTGTATGACTCTTAGATAAACACTTTAAAGGGAAATATACTTGCAGACTTCCAGAGGGCACCATCTACTCCTGACGGACACATGTTTAAAACATTTATGGTAACTATTTTTTCTCTCATCACAGATATTTCTAACCCATCATGGTGTTCTTTCTTGCAGAGTATAGACAGAATCCTCAACACATTTTCTGGGTAGTCAGAATCAATCAATGTAGCACATGGTTGAAATTTTGTAGTCATCCCTGCTCTACTGCACCTGCTCATTGTACAAAAAAGGAAAACTGATTCCCAGGGAAGATAAGTGATTTATGAGGTTATAGACTCAGCTGAATTCTTAAATGGGTCACAAATAAAATAGTTTTGCTAATGGGTCTGACCTATGAGTAGTTCATGCTGACCATACTGCTTCTGAACCCCTAGTTTCATAGTCAGAAAAGCTTGGGGTTCAGATTTTTCTATTCTTTCTCTTTGGATTTCTAGATTCAAACTTACTTTAAGAAAGCAAAATCTATTGAGAAATATAAATTTCTTAAAAAAAAACAGAGTAGATGACTGAGAGATCTCATATCATTTTCTGTGATTTTCCAAAGTAACTTTAAGGAACATCATTCATGGTTGCAAATTCTTTTATCGTTTTCAAGGATTTCATTTCTTTCTCTTCTCCCTTATTACCAATCTAAGCTAAAATTTCAGAAAAATGACAAGTGGCATCTCTTTCTTTTCTCAGGGGAAAATGAAATTAGTTCACTCTTACAGCAAACCAATTACAGGTAGGGCCAGGGATTATACAGACCAAGGCTCAAGACTTCATGAAGTTTCTGAACCTTTTGGAATCTTAGCCCGAATTAAAAGTTCTGGAACACTTAACATCTCCCAGTTAATATCCTGGGTTAAAAGCATAAAGACATGGCCTGAGCAATAGTACTGTGGGTAGGGTGCCTGCCTTGCACATGGCCAATCCAGGTTCAATCCCTGGCATCCCATATGGTATCCTCAAGCACTTCCAGGAGTTATTACTGAGTTTCAGAGCCAGGACTAACCCCTGGGCATCACCAGGTGTGTCCTGCCTCAAGAAAGACAGTAGGAGACCTGGGTTTAAATCCCTGTCTGCTCTCACAAGCAGCACTGAACCTCTCTGCTTAACTGAGAAAGGGAACAAAGTATTTATATAAAAATTTAGGATTCATGTTTTAGGGGACCACCTCTGGCAGTGTTAAAGGGCTAACAAATGGGGATAACTCCTGACAGGGCTCAGGGGACTAAATGGGGTGCCAGAGATAACTGTGTGCAAGGTAAGTACCCTAGCTGTTCCATCTCTCCAGCACCATAGGAGAAATTTTAATGAGATTATTCATCAAAACACATAGTAAGTTCTCAAGAAATGCAGATTCTCACAATGATCATTCATTATGTGTCAGGGAAAGCAAAGCTTCCTTTCAGTGAGGATCAAGAGGAGAAAGCTCAGATTGTAGCTATATGTCCCCAAATATCTAGTGCAGTTGGACGTAACATGACAAGTCAATTGGGGGTAACTAAGTTCTATGGGATAGAAATGTGCAAAACTTTGAGGTTGTGCTGCTAGGGGTCTTGATTAGCCTTGCCTAATCAACCAAAACTAACTTCTCTCAGGCTGATTTTGGTAAAAGTTGCATGGTCTCAGTTGCATGTTTACAGACTCCCAAAGAAGATGACCATCCAACTAATCTCTCTTTGTCTTTTCTCAGGCACGTCCACTGTAGTGTGCAAGCCTATAGTCATTGAAACTCAACTCTATGTTATTGTGGCCCAGCTGTTTGGAGGTTCTCACATCTATAAGCGAGACAGTTTTGCAAACAAATTCATAAAAATCCAAGATATTGAAATTCTCAAAATCCGAAAACCCAATGACATTGAAACATTCAAGATCGAAAACAACTGGTACTTTGTTGTTGCTGACAGTTCAAAAGCTGGTTTTACCACCATTTACAAATGGAACGGAAATGGATTCTACTCCCACCAGTCCTTACATGCATGGTACAGGGACACCGATGTGGAATATCTAGAAATAGCCAGACCACCGCAGACACTCAGGATGCCTCATTTAATCCTGTCTAGTAGCTCCCAACGTCCTGTAATTTATCAGTGGAACAAAGCAACACAATTATTCACTAACCAAACCGACATCCCTAACATGGAGGACGTATATGCTGTAAAGCACTTCTCAGTAAAAGGTGATGTGTACATTTGCTTGACAAGATTCATTGGCGATTCCAAAGTAATGAAATGGGGAGGCTCCTCATTTCAAGATATTCAGAGGATGCCATCAAGAGGATCCATGGTGTTTCAGCCTCTGCAGATAAATAACTACCAATATGCAATTCTTGGAAGTGATTATTCCTTTACTCAAGTGTATAACTGGGATGCAGAGAAAGCCAAATTTGTGAAATTTCAGGAATTAAATGTTCAGGCACCGAGATCATTCACCCATGTGTCTATTAATAAGCGTAATTTTCTTTTTGCTTCCAGTTTTAAGGGAAATACACAGATTTACAAACATGTCATTGTTGACCTAAGCGCATGACACCCAGTTCTGTGGCTGCCATCAGAAACTTTCTACAGTACCTGATCCGGATGAACTCAATGCATGATGACTCTTATCACATTCGCAAATGAATGCCTTTCAAACATTGAGACTGCTAGAACCAAGCACTACCAGTATCTCCATCCTTAACTGTCCAGTCCAGTGATGTGGGAAGTTCCTTTTATAAGACAAATTGAATCGTGTAACTGTTCTTTGCAGTGAAGATGTGTAAATAAGTGTTTAATGGTAAATGTTATTCAAAAAGAGAAATATTAAGATGTACTTTTCCATTTATTTATTCATGTGTTCAGAAACAACTGCCAAATAAAATGTTTACATTTTCTTTCATATCCCAAAGGTAATTATTTATAAGAGTTGTTTTATTTTTGTGATGGTATGCCGAGGAAATAGTTTTATACATCTGGATATGTTGTTCTATTTGGATCAAGAATTTCTGCTGTGAATAATGTATGAAGATGAAACCCTGATACTGGTTACCCATAATTTATGAATAGGTTCATCTGCTAATTTTGAACATTCTAATGTGTTTCAAATAGCTTTTAGGAATGCTTTGAAGTGAAATGGTGACAAATTAAAAGCTGGGTAGAAAAAATTTCCTATTATAAGAAGATTCATTTGAAATAAAGAATAGTAAGAAGACTCCTTTTCTGTCTGATAGCTTCAGTTAAACTCATCATTCAGACAACATAGGAAGCTGAAGTAGAAATTTGAGATTGAAAAAAACACTATTCAGGTGTTTTCTTTAAATGTGTGACTCTAAAATTATCCAACAGCTAACACCATCGTATAGCACTCACTTCAAATATACCTGATATAAAGGCTACATAATCTGATCAAGGGTGCTTCACTTTTAGTGGGTGTTGATGCCTCCTTGACATGTTGCAGAGTACCTGTGAATCTTAGATTTGATTTTTTAAATCCCTGCTCCTGGATCACGTGGGTTTTTAAAACCTAGAACAATTCCTGTGATATAGTAGCATTCAAAACTTCTTCTAAAGAATTTTTGAGGGGGCTGGAGCGATAGAACAGCGGGTTAGGCATTTGCCTTGCATGCGGCCGACCTGAGTTTGATTTCCAGCATTCCATATGGTCCCCTGAGCACTGCTAATTCCTGAATGCATAAACTAGGAGTAACCCCTGTGCATCGCCAGGTGTGACCCCCCCAAAATAAAAGAATTTTTGAATGTCTCCTTGCTATAATGTAATAATAAACTTTATGAGGCCCTTTGACCTAATCAATAATATTTATTGAGTATCTATTAAGTACAGAGCATTAGTGAGGAAAGAAAAACTGAGGGAGAGTACAGCACGGACATTGTCCTTACCTTTCAGGACCATGCAGGACTAATTAGAAAATGGATGAGTGGGGAGGAGATAGGTTAGGACACAAAACCTACGAGCAATCATAACAGTAAATATCTTCTGAACATTTTAATACAAATAACAGGAGTACCAAAGATAGTTATCTTGGAAGTAGTGGTCCTTGTTTGAACTAAAAAGAAAGAAAGAATTTTCAAAGGAGATCATAGCATAGGAACATTGACTTTCTTGTCTCAAATTGGTTCTTTGCACTGCCCTCATGAAGAAGTAAGAACGTTCTCCATCTCATTATCCCCCAGACTCTTTTACCATACTCTTTTGTGTGTGTGATGGAAACACAACTTGTGTCTTATGAACCTAAGACTGGAAAGGTACACACATTAAACGTTTATTTAGTGCTTAAGATGCAGCACCTTGGGGAATGATGCAGAGGAACTAGATTCCTTTACCATACGGAGAAGATATTACCTCTGCTATTAAGACCAGCAGGGAATACAAGCTTTGCCCACTCTTGAGCCTGTGCAAAGGAAGACTAACCTCTGAGTTTTTTTACTTTTTTCGAGTTCCCTTTCCAACAGGATGGATGTTGTCAGAGAATGAGTGCTTTATGCAGACTGGGTTTAAGTCTAGTTCTCTCAAGTACTGTTTTTGTCTACAGGAAAGTTTCTTAGCCAGCCTCAGTTTCTTCATCATTAAAGGGGGTCAATGATGCCTACTCCTAAGACACTAGTAGAATTAAATGAGTGAGATAAAGAGCACAATGGACTGATTTTTGCTAATAATGGCCATAACAACCTCCAATTCCATAGGGTCTATGGAAACTAACTCCCCCACACCCCGTGCCATGAAGAAGTGGGTGCTAAATTCTCCAATTATTGAGTGTGAGCACATTATTACCAAGAGAATGCTATGGAAATGATGCAGATAGACTTATTAGTTGGTAGTAAAAACAATTCAGCATCTGCTTTGTGAACTAGCACTTATGTTTCGGAATCATTGAACTGCCACACAGGAAGTCCTACTAGCCTGAGGTGACAATTATAAGAGGAAGTACAGATTTAAGTCAGCTGCCTTAGCTGTGGTCCCAGACCAGTCTAGGAGTAAAGATGCCTCTAGGTGATTTCAGCCTCTGTCAATATCAGTCATAAAATATTCCCAACTGAGTCTTGATAATTATGGAACAGAGATAAGCCATCTCTGGGATCCCAGTACAAATTCCTCACCTTTAGACTTACTAGTAAAATGATAGTTTTAAATTGCAGCTAAACGTATAGTAAAGTTTTAAATGGAAAACTTTTGGGGGTGATTTATTATACTAGTAGTCATTGGAATAGTATTGAAACCGTTTAATACAGAACAGGCACAAATTAGAACTCTGCAAAGGCTAACAGGCTATAAGCCAATACTCAAAAGTAGTATTTGTTTTGGGGTCCCACTTCACCTTTTTGTATTATTGTGATTCACTGGCATTTTATTTTTAAGAGATAACTCTTTAAAAAAGCAATCAATTATCAATGTTCTTACTCTGTGTCAGAAACTTAGTTGAGTTCAAGAATGTATAGATGAATGATCTATGTTCTATCCTGCCTGTTTTCACAGAAACATTGACTAAGATAGCAAACTGAATCTCTTATTTACCTTAAACCAGGGACCTAGAGATGTGAAACAAGCAGGAGAGGTGGGCCTCTCTGCACTGGGATTATATCTTTTTACATCACATGTTGCTGCTTTTCAAAAATCTTCCCTCTGATAAGAACCTGAAATTATACCTAGGGAAAGAGGATAGGAATAGGGGCTGACAGAGAAAATGAATCTAAAAAGGTGGGGTCCATTTTTGTAAAAATTGACCAGCTTTTTTTAGAGTTGCCATCTCTCTTTGTACTCCTCCTCTACCATATACAGTCGAATTTGGTCTCTCCCCAACCACAGACGATTGGAGTGAATGTTCAGTTTAGGTGCTTAGTCTAGAAGCTAGGCTGAGTAAAGCTTGAACAAATCTGGTTCTCTCTCTAGGACACTAGTGTTTAGGACTACAGAGGCATCAGACTTATTAAGTGGTGATCTTAAAACAGATTTTCTTAAAGCAAATGGATTTACCAAGAACCATTTTCTGGGGAAATATAAGGAAATGAAAGGAGCATGGGGGTGGGGCAAGATATGCTTCAAGTATGTCATTTAGAGTGAAGTCCAGCTTCAGCACAGCCCCACATGGAACTTTATAGCATGAATTAAGCCATAGAATATGTCATATATTGAAAACAAGAAGGATTTTATACATTACATAACCTTTTTTATGATTTGCATAACCTTTTAGGCATCTCTGGAAGATAAGGTTCAAATGAGTCAAGGACAATCCCTCAAGGAACAATACACAAGTGAGTTAATGGAAACCCAAAGCAAGATAGGTGCATAATCCAGAGCGGGTTTATGAGATTATATCTCATCTGGATGAGATTCCTGTCGAAGACCCAACAGTGTTTTCTGAGGAACTGAATTCTCCATTATCGAACAGTTGGGATGGTCCAGAGCATAGAAGATGCTCTGAAAGTTGAGAAGAATGTAAAGAAACAGCTCAGAAAAATGCAGAGGCGAGAATCAATGTGGTCTGAGGAAGGGAAAGAAAGGAGAGGAGTAAAAGAAGAGAGAGTAAATAGTGAACGAAGGATAGGGAGAGAAATCACTTAATCACTTAATCCCCGTTATTCATCGATTTATTCGAGCGGGTGCCAGTAACGTCTCCATTCATCCCGGTTGCGTGCTAGCGTAGCCCAATGGTATCTGTTCGTTTTAGGAACATGTAGAGCCTCAAACCGATTATTTAGGGTCTTGACGAAGAAGTCTGACCATCTTATAGGTGGGAGAAATAGAGGTATAAAAGAAGAAAGACCATGGTGTAGGTATGATGTCCTAGATTTGATCATCTCAAACCCGGAAGTGGGGAGAAAGGAGACTTTGGCAGATGAAACAGCTAAACTGGGATACAGTTCCAATAATAACAGCCAATAGGGGGCACAAGACCAGAGGTATCCTGACAGGTGGTTCCAGGTTGGAGTTTGGGGATCTGGTCTTTATGCCTCATGTTGATTAGTGTTAGAGGTAGACAGTTCCCTGATGAAAATCTGCTCTTGCATGAGTTTGTTTCTTTAGCCATGGCAATCCACAGATAGAGGCCCATCTCTTGCAGGAGGAGAGGAAATAAATCCTATATTTCATAGAGAAATAGTGTAGTGGGGGAGACACCTTTCATGCAGTAGGCTATTTGATCCTTGGCCACCTATAGGGTTCCCTGAGCACCACCAAGGGTGATTCCTGAGTGCAGAGGAGAGAGGAAGCCCTGAGCATAGCTGGGGTTCCTCCCCACGCCAATATCAAAATAGAAGAAAATGCCCAAAATTTAATCCTTTTATTTGACCAGTTAAATGTGATCTCTCCTTTCTCTGGTTCTCTCACCCTTTGCCTCTTTGCTGAGCAAGGCTCCCTCCTCCTTCTGCCTGGATCACGGTTAGATCCTGACTGTCATTTTTCTCATCATGCTACTCACCCGAGGGTCAGGATGGGTCTTAAACCCCTGGAATTATTCTAACTCACTACCTTTCAGCTCCTAGAGCAGCCTTATTTATTGTAAAGTTTCAGGAATGAAATAAGTTCAGCAGCTTCAGTCCATGTTTGGAAACAATCTCTGTTTCCATATCTGAGAAGTAGTCACACTCCCTACAAACAATTCCTGGACCCATAAATAATCTTGAATACTGATTATTCCCCCAAAAATAGATCTTCACAGACTACCCTGCTCCCCAAGGGTAACTGGTGTGGGGTAGAAGTGAGAAGATCTATTTTTTTCCTCCCAATAAACACACATTTCAGGGTAAGGGACTTACACAGTGGTTAAGGTGTTTGTCTTGCATGTGGTGGGCCCAGGTTCAATCCCTGCCACCTCATATGGTCTCTCAAGCCCTGCCAGGAGTGATCGCTGAACACAAAGCCAAGAGGAAGCCTAGAGTACTGTGGAGTATGGCCCCAAAACAACAACCAAAAAAAAAAAAAAAGAAAAAGAAAAGAAAAAGAGCCCACACATTTCAGATCTACCTAAAAGCTAGTCCACAAATGAGGATAAAAATCTATTTGTTTAATATGGGGGACAACCATAAAGGAACTAGCGTGATAAAAATTTCAGAAAAGTCATGCCCTTTAAAATCTGGGGACTCAGATGGAGGAAGGTATCACTTCTAGTGACACTTAGTCTGACGCTGCAGCCTGAACTTGAAACCCAAGTTTGGTATCACCCAATGATGCTCAGGGCCACAAGGACCACAGCCTAT